GCTTAAAAGATTCGCGCCACCTTTTCATCCAATCAGAAGTAAAACCAAAGCCAATTGTGACGCGCTCGCATGCATTTTCCCGCGCTTTGCGTCAGCCACATGTAATTACTTCGAGTTTTGATTGGTTCAATGTATTGTCTGTGTCCTATGTGATTGGCCAGAGTAATTACTTTGGTTTTGGTTTTACGACACTCAAACGGAAACCACTCTATAGCATATTTTGTTTTATGTGAGTAATTATCTCTAATCCGCAACCTATCATCGACCATTTTATGGTAGAATTAATCAGTTTTACAAAATATGAATAGTGTATTTTTTAAATGAAGACGATGTAAATATTGCAATCGACCTACATGATGTTTTGAAAAGTATTGTAGAAATCAACTTTGAACGAGAATGAATTTCTGACATTTTATAGAGTGGGCTCAATGTGACATTTGCTATAGTGTGAAGACCGTTTATCAGTTCTCATACCAAGTTAACAGCAAACCGAGCATACGACTTCTCATGGTAACTAGAATAGCACAAGGAACTCGGCCAGTGCGGGTTAAATCCCTTCACCGGGGTCGTGGGGGGGGGGGGGTACTCCCTATCGGATAGCTGCCTGCCGCCCAGGGTCTTGACGAAAACTAAACTAATAATTTAACACACAATCCTATTTCAAGAGAGAGTTCAGTTTGAACAGATGATTTGTTTCTCGTGTAGTTGGGCATTTACCCTCTTGAATTTTGGCTGACACAATTTAGGTACCTTAGCGAAGGATCATACTGGGAGCAAAATGCCAGTAAAGGCAAAAATGAACCTCAAATACCGTACCCTATCGGGCGGCACATAGTAGCAAGCCTTGCCTAGTTCCTAAGTCTCATTTTTCTGCGCGGCGAAGTCGTTTCGGGTCACATCGGACAGGTACTAGGCAAGTCCATATATGGGAGTACCCCTTTCCTGTTCGGGATCCTTTTGCGCTTTACAAACTGAACAAAAATATTTCTTCCTTCGGTCCGTGCGCTCTTGTCTTTCACTTCGCAGTTCATCCTGGCCTAAACTGGAATTACTAAAGTGTCTCGCAAACCCTCGTGGAACATTGTTGTTCACCCTTCACCCTTGCTTAAATGACTTTCATTATGAAGCCTACAAGCCAGGAAATGCGTTGTGAAAGTGTTAATAATGGCTAGAGGAGATAACAAGACAAGGGACTGGGTTTGTGTGCTTCTTCCCTGGTAATGCGCAGTTTGTATTAACAGACAGCAGTCCCCAAAAGAACATAGCCTGTGCCAGGCTCTCGGTCAGTGCAGACGAGCGAAAACAGCGGGCGAGCAGCGAAAAAGCGAGCAAGCGAACAATGGCGGAAAGAAGCCGAGAAGGGATAGAGCCTGTAAACATCTCTACAAATACCTCGCTACACCTACTACCCTCTCCACTTCCAGAAAAAAAACGTTTCTCTTGTCAAAATGACAAATATTAAAATATCAATATGTGCCTTGTAGGAAGGTTTCACTCGCTCGCTATGTTTTCTCTTCGTCTCTGCGTGCGCGAAGCCAAGGAAGATCTAAAGACGAGTCCTCAACGAGAACGTCGCTTAAAAAGTGAATTTACTTTCTTTCGCGATTATTCCTACCCACTTCCTTTGTAGGCTAACCCTCCTGAAGTCGAATTCCAAGGGACCATATCCAAGTTCAGAAAGAGAAATAAAATTTCCTCTTTACTTGTTTACGTTCTCCATAAAATGCAAATTAGGAATTTTCACGTTGTAGTAGTGCAAAAACGCCAAAGAAATGTACAACAAAGTGTGATGCACGTGCGAAGTTGTTGTTTTGCCTGATTAGACCTATTGGGGTTTTTGGTGTGTTTATCTTTTTGACGTTCTCGTTGCTGTCGCGTCGTTGGATCTTAGGCTTTCTTCACACTATACCGGACGAAAAGCTATCCGTCATAGTATGAACAGCGACGACACGGGCGAGACTTTCACACACATTGAATTTCAAGCCGGCGCGGTTGGCCGAAAGGGTTTGATGCAGGGCGGATAAAGGTTGGGCGGTGAAACGGGCGCGTCCGAGCAAAAAGGTGTGATGCAGTGGACTGGGACTCTGCTTAGAAATGTCGCTCGTTTTCGACTTCGGTCAGGGCTTGCGATGTGGTTTGTACATTAGACACTGCCGCTGTCACTGAATTTAGCGGCTTGATTTGTTTTCTTGCACTTCTTCCTCGTTCCTTTGCGCTGGTACGCTGTCTCCGAGAGGCAAATGTTGCTATTTTTTGTGGGAGGTTTAGTTGGAGTAGACAAACATCGCTTTCAAAGGGTTTCTTTTATTACTTCCACGACTCTACCACTGAATTATATTTTCGTTCTGCTACTCGCCAATGTCGATGTTATTCCAAAACAAAAACATCTAAGTACTGTCTAAAAAACGAAGGAAAATCTCATCCATGTCCTCCATGGCAAAACTAAAAGACAGCAGATCGTGTTTCATAACTTGATGACGTGTATTTTATAAATGCGTGCAGTTCGTGCAAGGTGAAATTATGCTAATTTCAATCACCATCATCCTTCTTTTTAATTTTGAAAAAAAACATCTCATACGTCTTTCTGTTTCTTCGAAACTTCAAAATTAGTTTTCCCTCAGTTTTTACTGTTTACCTTGTTTTGTTTTAGAGAGAAAAACGGAGAAAAAACCTTACAACTGACCTCAATAAATTTTGTTTACATGCGGTTGCCGGATTTGCAAAGCATTGCGCGAATCGCCATGGCACGATGCACCCGAGAAGCAAAGTTTGAAGAAATATAACGCCACTATATCAATACATATCAATCTAATTTTTTGTTATGTTATACAAAATTTATCCCCCTTTAACATATGTAAAAATTGAGGTTAAGAAGTGTTAAGCTTTTGCAAACGAAACGGCGAAAGACGATTAGGTGATATTTAGTGGAAGGA